CGGATTTGAAGAAAAGCTACTTCAAACTGCCAAAGAGAGGGGACTTAAGTCAATGCAAAGACTGGCGCAGAATTGTGCCCCTGTCCATCCCAAGCTAAATACTAAGCCGCGCCATCCTGGAGAGAATCAAATACGCCAACATGGAAGAAAACCGTCAACCGGAACAGGATGGATTCAGGAGAAACATGTCATACATCGATCAAATAGCAATACTACGCATCATAATTGAACAGAGTTTTAAATGGCGGTCAGTTTTCTACCTCAACTTCATTGACTTTGAAAAGGCCTTCGACGGAGTTGATCGAGAGGTGATTTGGCAACTACTTCGCTACTATGGGATGCCGCCAAAAATTATACATCTCATCCAGCATTTGTACGATGATGCTACATGCCAAGTAATCCACAACGGGAAACTCACAACCTGAAAAGCACTTTGATCAATATTAGACTCAATTTCTGCATCATCAATAACCACCCAAACTATTACTGGGCATTTCATAGTAATAGAATCAGGTTCAAAGACGATGAAACGCACATCATGGAATCTGCGGTTAGTGGAACAACAGATACGTTATTTTCGCCACGTTATATTCTAGGTTCCTGAAGGCGATACTTCTTAATTTTCAGTGCACTAATTACGCGAAACCCTAAATTGGTTCTTATATTAAGTTTCCCGCTACAAATAACTTGCAAATATCCAGATTTTATACTTAAAAAGCATTATGTTTTGCGCTAAACGAGAAAAATCAGCCAATTCGTATGAATATATTTAGCTGATTTACCAAAGGTAACTAGGGTGAAAGAAGCTGTAGACAATGAAGTTGCAAATTTCATTAGGACTAGTCACCTGTACACATTACAGATACACATATTTGTGTCATATTTGAGAGATAACGTAAATACAATTAGAACTGGTGACAACCAAATGTCAACTTAAACAGAGGTAATTCTGAAAGGTAGTGATCCGTGAAGCTGGAGCTGAAAACGACCCCAAGCCTTATACTGTTGCGTCCATGATCGAATGCCAAATTTCAGAGGAAAGGAAACAATTCTCGTCAACGTCTTAAGCTATAAGTCTCTATTTTTCACCTTCCAATCAAATTACTTTATTGGTGAACTTATTTATAGCTATCACCAATATCCTAACTTGCTATGAAACCCATAAATTCTTAGGTTCTGTAAGATTCTCAATAATTTATCCGCCATGACTATTCATATTACTGTATACACCTGTTCTGAGCTGTAATCTGTCAGTCTTATTGATCCGATTTTATTTGAAACAATAAAGATGTCAATAAAAATAATTTTATAACAGTTTGTGAACCCTCAGGCTGTGATGATATAATTGCACATTCCTCTTTTTATTAAAAGCCTCCGTCTGTGATATAAGTCCACTAAGGAGCAAATTATTGAAATTCCAACCCAATTAGCTATATGGAAACGAGTTGGGCTAATTCGGCTTTCATAGCTCAATCATACCGAGTATGGGGCCTGTGAAGTCGACCCTAAGCAAGCGAAACTACCGTCCGGTGTTTAGATCACGTCGATTTATCTAGGTACCTCTACTGGTTCACATGAGTTCTCGCTTTCAGCTAATCATAGCAGTCAGTCACTAGTGTGTAACATCACGCACTAGTGAGATCTGAACTCTCTCATCGTATATCTTAGTTTTTACCTCTACTAATGGCACTCGACTTTCAGATGACAATGGCTACAAACTAAGACACACTAAGGGTACAGTAGCTATCGAACAATGTAAAACAGCCACCAGGCAAAAGTTTTACTTGGTTAGGTATGCACAGATATGGAATAAACTGCCAATGGAAATGCGTCAAGCAAGTACATTGGCCTCCTTCAAAAAGGGTGCTTAATGACAAACTACAAGAGTTTGCAAACAATAGTAGTTCTAGTTCCTATCTGAGAGCCTCCGAAATTATAGGTCCATTTAATGTATAAGCTTAAATACTACACCTGTTGTTTTTCGCCTATATTTATAATTCTAGATAAAACATTAGCGGTTAAGATACGTATCCTCAAACAGACAAGAAATCTCGTTTGTAAAACTACTACCCAACACAATAAGTGGAATAAAATGGACATAAACCGACAACATGAAAAAGGTGTAGCTCACCACAACATCACATGGACAGATGTAAGCCCGTTGGGCACCATATATCCCTCACCAACTGTAACCCACATTTCCTAAGATAATGTGGTGAACTTATATCCATAATGTTGCTGAGCAGTTAATATTCTCAACTCCTGTCGGAACAGCTGAAATTCATAAACCTTCCTAACGCTAAGAAAATACCCACGAGCAGTAGAAATCCATTAATTAATGAGTCTGAGGCGTATGTATTTACTCCCAACAATGACATTGCAGATCAAATGAGATAAAAATATCACTGATTTCAAAATAACACATCAATGAACTATAATTAAAGGATTCTGCACACAAAAATGTTATGTATGAAAATTGACTTCAAGCTTTATTTTTTTTCCCAGGCACTTATAATCCACCCACCAAAGACCTGGTTTTTTTGTTAATGCGAAGACAATACTTCTGTATTTCCTGCTGTGTTGCACTCACTGACAATCTAGCAGATTTTTCCAACTTTGCACAGAAATGATTGTATATAAGTGAAAAGGCTGTTTTATACTACTGGGATTAACATTTATCAAGTGTATGTATAATCTCCAGCGAACATGTAAGGCATATCTTGCTACTGCCTGTAAATTGTGATTGAATTATGTGGTTCTATTTCTGTAACAATTTGATGATGCCTGTAAACTGGCGTCCCTGATGTACTGTACCTTGAGAATAATTTTATTTAGTTATTTATTTAATACTTATCCATGCCTGTATAACTTGTGTGTCCTACATTTGTAGGAATAAATATGTACCTTGTTATATTATCATTACTAGCTATACTTACTAATCGTATGTCTAATTTATCGAATTGATGATGCCTGTAAACTGGCGTCCCTCATGCACAAAAATGAGAATATATATTATTATCATCATTTTCTTGATACCTCCTTAATTGACAACCATATTTTCGGGGTAAGTACTAGCAAGTCATTTCCTTTAGTAAGCCTTTGACATGAATTTTGGTGTCTAAGACAGAAATTATTAAAACTTGCGGGAAGTGCCGCACAAACCTATGACTAAGCACCTGTGTTTCCTGCCCAAAAGTCGCAGTGTGTGCTTTACTAACAGCCTGTGATTTCACACGGGACTCTTGTGATCTCAGTCTCGACTTTGTTTTTGGTAATGTATTGAGTACATGTCCTATCGTAACCAAGATCTCTAAACCCGTGTTTTCACTTACGAATTGGAATTAGTCACTGTCTCACAGTCTATCTCAGTAGTCATTACCTCAGAAAAGGTTACCGTTCTCCTCCCTTTTTGCAAGATGGTATAGGACAGCAGCATGCATGTGTACCATTCTTTAATCACTTGCCAAACCACAAGTGACATCAGGAGAATTGCCCTGTTGATTTGACCTGTCTGTGCCTGCTTCTTGCTTTAGAGCGTTGTCTGTCATTTTGTCTACCTTGACTTTCTTGAGTTTATGCCGGTTTCAGTTGCTGGTATGACGTCCAAAACAAGGCCTGAGATTATGTGGTTGGTGCTCGTAGCTGCACTGTCCTCATGCCCTTCTGTGAAACGTATCCTCTTCATTATTCTACCTGCTATGATTAACTACTGCCTAAAAGTAAAATAAATGGCTTGGGCATGGAGAACATGTACTGCATACTTTTAAAGTTCTTGCAGCCAACCTTTCTGCCATTGTCATTTGAAACAATATCTATTTTTGCTGGTTTTCGGAACATGAAAGGTAGTCCAGTATACGGTTGTTCAAGTGGTGGCGATAAGTGTCAATGAGATGAAACAAAGTAGATCAGCTGCCCCTGTATCAGTCATTTTCAAACCTAATAAATTACTGATGAAAAAGACGCTCGAATTGGGTCGATCGTAATTCAGAATTGAGTTTATCGAACCCTAGAATCTGTTGTAGTTGCTAATGTATTTACTCTCATAGGTTTAACTTTTCGCAGACGAGATATCCTTAAGTACATCATGGAAAAAACCTCAAAATGAGGCGAGATGGATAAAAAGCTTGAGCTTTCCTCGACTGCGATATGATGAAATGCCTATTGCGGGTGTTTAGCAAACGATGCCTTTTGAAAAATATTCGGAAAGAAACTGTTTAATAGCTTGTAGAAGATTTGAAGACAGCAGCTTCTAAACATTTTTTTTAATCATGCTAGTGTGCAAGTGAACCTGGAAAGGTCATTCACCACACAGTGCAGTTTGGTACAGAATAGGAGCTTTCAAAGCGTTAACAGTTAAGGTCCCAGCTTGGTTAATCGTCTCATCCCTTTGCATTCGTTAATCACTAACTGCCTACCAGGTGATATCAAGATACATAGGTAATTGTGTTAGATGCAGAAACTCCACATATCTAGGTTTGGTAGAACATTTTGTTTGAACCTTTACATGGATTTGAGCTATATACACCTTATCTTGGTATATTTTCTTCAAGTTTTCTTCGTCAGATTCCCCGCACTGGAAACATGTTAGATAGCTCTAACGAAGCCATAACATTTGGACTTTCCCACTGACGACAGTAAAAAGCGGCATGCCACGAGATTCTGTGTTTTGATGTCTATCGTTTACTCCACGTATCAAGGAATCACAAAGTATTGCTAAGTCTGCCATGGTTATCTGAGCTAATTTTTAGAAGCTCCAAAGGCAGTTTACAGTGGACACCGGAATCCTCGAATCGCACACACATCACAGCGATCCTGTGAGCAAGTTCAAAGAATAAGTACCTTGTATCAACGCGAATAAGTACACAGCCATATTATTTGGGCACACGAGTGACAAACAATACTACTTCTCCCTCTATTTCAGAAGCACTATGTACTATCTGTCATTGTAGGTCAAGATGGAAAACATATCACTCATTCACATTTAGGATTTTTTAGCTCCAATTAATCCAATGCAAAATCTTATGTTTTTTTGCTACTTTAACAAGAAATTAGCATTTTCAAGGCTCTTGTCATTGACATTGAATGCAGCATGAGCGCTGTTTATGACACATTGCGCTTCTAAAGCTGGCCAGTGGAAATAATCAAAGTTCGAACGTCTCCCCAGATTCCCTTGAAGGATGTGAAGAAAAGGAAAAGTCATCAAAGAAAAAAGGTATTTCTTGGAAGTCATCTACTTTGTTTCGTCCCAATTCACTTTGTATTTTAATTTCTGTTATGGGTTCAGTTTCAAGTTATTTTATTTTATTATATCTCAATATACTATGGTCATCCAGACTCTAGATTCTATTGATGTCGATGTTTTTTCATCATTATTCCTGACAAATCGAGACCTATCAAGACAAGAACCACTAGAAAATGTCCAGAATGTGGTTAATACTTTAGTCCGTATATGTATTAAATCAATTCATATTGCTATATCTCATTTATATGAAAACGGCCAAGTTAAACTTTAAGCGTCAGTAACCGTAAAACACTCAGTGAGCAAGTTAGTGAAACCCAGTAATTATATTGTAGTCATGAATAACATTTGCTTAATGAAGTGCTATGTTAATAAACGGGATATCTGGCGAGTTTTAGTTTACGTTTGGGAAAGATTAAGCTAAAGTTTTGGCTAAGGAAAGGTTAGGGTTAGGTTAACATAGTGAGGGCGACATAAGTGTTTGGTTCGAGTTATATTGTGGTTAGTTTCGGGATTTTTCCGCGTTAGGTTTAGGTTAAGCAAACATTAGGGTTATTGTTAGGGTTAGAAGACTAGATAATTAAATGGCTTGAACTACGTGCTTTATTTGGCCCCGACTCAGAAATACACATAGCTGGTGAAAGTCGTAAAATCGTTTAGTGTTCATCTATTTCATCGTAGTAGATTTCTCTTCGCATCTCTTGTGTACTTAGCCCTTAAAATCTTCAGTTCACAAGTTCTAGTTTTAAGTATTTATCTAATCACCTTTATCGGAAATGTATCGGTTTTACTTTTATTTAACTTCACACCGATTTTCTAGTGACTATCTTACTAGGTTAAATTATTTGGGATGTCTAGAAAACGTAACATCCTCTTCACTGAGTCAATATCCACTAGTTTTTCACTTAGTTTACCGTTTTCAGCTGACGTATTTTTTATTAAAACATTACCGACCCACTGTATAGTACCTGGTTGAATTTTAGTAGTTCGTTAAGAATTTGACATTGAGTAGATGATACTTGTAATTATTGAATATGCCTATTTTCCAGTGATTGAACAGCAAAGCCAAATTGACTTTGCTTATGTTTAGCTGCCTAATGCTGGCGGCTTTAAGTATCGTAAAGTTAGCAATTACACTTTTGATTTCTATTCATTGTGAAATATTAGTTTTTAATGATGGTTTACAAATCTAATATTTTAACCTCTAACTGAGGACATTTGAATCATTTCATCTTTATTCAACACTAGTATCTTGCAGTCCCTCAGTGTAGTGGAAGAGGCTGTCTAATATCACAATAGTTAAAAGCTCACTGTCACCCTTCTCTATTAAATCAACTTAATATAATATACGACTCCTTAGTTCAACACCACTGAAACAACCAGGTCGCGCGATGCGCCTCTGTATACGGGGAAATGAGAAGAATTTGCTGATCAGAGAGACCATACTGCAGAACAGCTGTACTTCCTGTGGTTCTCAGTATACATTGTCTTAGGTCAGTATGCGAGGGCCAATATGTATATATATATAATTGGCAGTAAAATATACAGGTTACAGACTAACCCCTGAAAAGCCAAATGTAAAAGACGTCACTGAAACTTCGTTGACTAAGCCTGTATTTTATAGATTAGGCTGCATGCTTAACTATGGTAAATGTGTAGGGTGGGGTATTTCAATATTTGTAAAAGATATTGTTAAGCTACATCAACTGAGATGGCTAGGACACATGTTTCGCATACCAACCCAATACCTTCCTCGATGAGCAATGTTAATTGATATATGATTAGGTCGGAAAAGAGTCAGAGGAGATCAGAGCAAGACCTGTCAAGAGTCAGTGTAGTCTTTGGTTGTTGGTTTGAACCACGAAGAGAGGTATAGATTGCCTGGCCGCGGTCTTCGAGATTCTATAAACCAATGACTTGAAATTGTAGGTGATATGGCTCAAAACCTTTCTCAGTGGTTCAGATAGATTCATTCTCTTTGAAGTTCCAAGTCCCATTAAATCTTCATGTTTTTCCATGTAATTAATTATTCTACCTTCCGCAATTGTCCGCTCATTATGTTTCTTTTAAATCCCTTTTTGTGTGCTACACGGAGTGTTACAACTTGAACTGGTGCATTTCTGTGCAAAGCTCTACGTTGAAACAATTGCAAAGTAGGCTGTGTTATTAGAATAGCGGAAGAGACTTTTGGACACTGAGTACATAACTACCAGTCAGTAGACTAAGCTGTTATATCCATGCCATTGGGTGTGGTTTATTTCAGTGTATTATTTCTATTACAACAATTACTCACTTTGATATAATAACTTTGTTTGCGCTAAAGTATAGAACTAGTCAATAAACATGAGTGGTATGATTTCAATTCCATCTTTTTCCTGCAACATAAATTATTATCCCAGGTTTATTCGCTGCCTTTTTGTTTTCAAGTATTTTTATCGGTTGTTAAAATAATTGCAAACTCTTGTCGCTAGTCTTTTGTCGTACATTATCTTTCTTTCAGTAAATTGTGCTACTGGTTCACTAGCATTCCATTTTTACCGTTTGTATTGTATGTTGTTAAGAGACAACTAACAAAACTGTTTCTTGGATTTCTCATTTGCATACTTTCAGGTTTGAGAGGTTTATTCAGACACGTTTCACATTCCAAGCATTCACAACGTAACCAGGGTCATGAGAAAGTTAGTCCTTCAACAAGTTCAGTAGGTGAGACTAGCTCACCGGAAATACCATTTCTGGCAAATAATCAACTTAATCTTGGAGGGAAATCATTAAAAGGGGATCAGAAATCTGCGGGTCAAAAACTAGTATGGGATTTATTTGAAAGAGATGGTTCTACTCGAAGTAGCAGTCTATCTGGTTATGAGACACAAGTGCCTGTAGACTATCCTATAGAAGGTGGTGTTTCTCCTAATCTTAAAAACAAAAATAATGAAAATAATGCTCTACAGTTTCCAAATCCGAGTGCATTTTCAGGGCAAAATTCCAATTCCAATCTTTCATCATGTGCTGTTTCCTTATCCTGGTAGGTTTGTTTTAATGTTAAAGTGTAATTATGTGAAATATTGAAATTATTGTGTATTATGCACTAGGGATTTCTGTTCATTGTACATTACGTTTCTGAACTCTGAGCATTTCTTTATCAGTATTGGAACGTGTGAAGATTGATTGGCTTTCTCCGACATGTGTTTTTTTTTGTGAAGTTCCGATTGTTTGTTGTTAAATGGCGGTTTGAATAATATCCAGTATTTAAATACGAACAGAGAAGCATATCTTTCATATTTAAAACAATAATATCAGTCCTTTGTAAAAAGTTGTTATGTTGGTTGTATAAACAAATATACTACCGATTGTGTCTAGTTTAATTTTAACTATTATCTTATTCAAAAAAGCTTTAACTATTACATACATATTTATGGTTTAATTTTAACCCTAATTTCAGCGCAACTCCTATCATGACAGTAACCAATCCAACACCTGAAATATCACACCACAAAACCTTTCATTCTTCACCATCTCGTACACATACACACTTATCTGTGCATTACAACTATGAGGTTAGTGAATTTTGTGTATGTCTCTACTGATTGTTTGTTTTTACTTTCATAACAGTATCCTATTGTCTGTAAAATTATTTGTATGATTGTTTACAAGACACTAACTATACATTTGTGTTCACTAGTCTGTGAGTCATACCTATTGCAGTGATACTATATGTAACTGTCCTAATTTTGGAATTGAAAAAAATGTGACTCACTGGCCGAAAAATCCACATTCATAGAGGTTTGCTAGTGCCAATTTCATTATTTCATTTCAATAAGAGTCAAAGTAGTGGTAAAAATAGTTGTTTTCGCCACATTTAGTTGTTCTCGCCTGTTTTAAGTAGATAGGGAATTAGTCATACTAAAGATTATGAATAGAGTTTAGCATAGATTTGTGCTCATGACAGTATCTTATTTCAGTCTATACTACATATTAACCGCGTCTAGTCAAAAGCGTTAAAGAATCTTAAAGTTAATTAAGGGATTTAGACTAAAAGTTGGAGATTTTGTAAAACAGTTTTGCGTCTTTTATCACAATATTCGTTTAACCAGAATAATACATTAACCATCAGGTAATGAGATAACATAAATAGATTATATTCAATAGATCACTCGATTCATGGATAATTGATGATTTCATCAATAGGCTCATTCGTTTGTTTCAATAAAAGTAGGTAATGCTTTAAATATTTCTATGATTGCATGCTAGAAACGTCATGTCACCTAGTTTTGAGATCCATGTTATGTAGTTGTAGAGTAGGAAATAGTGAATCTTAACTCAGACTTAATGCGGTAAGTATTCGTAAACCAGCTTTCATCATACAAGTGACTTAAGTTGACAAACCTGATAAACTGTATATATCTGAAAATAATTTTCCGAGTCTCGATACCATACCGAAAGTAGGTTGAGTAACCGATTCTCATCAACAGCTTTATTTCTTCAGGATATGCGTCGGTGGCACAGTGGTTAGGACGCTCGCCGACCATGCACATAGTCCGGGGTTCGATCTCCGGCTGACGCACGCCCGATATCAAAAGTCAGCCTGTAAAATTTGCGCTGTCGATATCACATGCTGAAAATTCCATACTTGTACCAAAATACTGTGTGGAATCAAGCTATAATATAAAAAAATATTTAAAAAATACCAGTATAAGTAGATTGTGGAGTGTTATTTCATCTGATATATTTCTCGAAGATATCAGGTCTTCGTTGAGGTTTATAATCTCGGCTAATTTTTGTATATTGCATTAATTCTTCAGTCTTAGAGGGGGTGATTCAACATTTCGAACACTCCACAATGTAATGCTCTGTACTGAAGAATATTTATAATAGATTAGTGTTTGTGAAGAGATCACAACTTTTTGAGTGGGTTAAGAAAGATCATATGACTCAGTGGCTTAAAATGACACTCACCACATGGCTTAAAATTAAAATCTATGACAGTTGTACTGTATCCTCTCTCATTTATGATATCACGGAAAGTATTACATGGCAACCAACTCTTCTTCGGCTTTGTCTAACGATAATGTGTATACCCCTAGCCATTTTCCCAGAAAGTGTTTATTTTTCTGAGATAATCTGAAATAAACAAACATAAATATCAGCTGACTGAAATAGACAGTTGAATGCAACTTTTTTCAATCTTCAACTTATCCAATTATTTTTATTTTTTTTGTTTATATTTACGTATATAATCTCATGTGATATTTACAAGTTTCTTTCCTAATTTGCCTTGTTTGTTTTTGATCGATTTTATCCCTCTTATATTTTTATTTACATGCTATTTTTAAATCCGTATAAAAAGAAGTATTATGTTTCAGTTTAAACCATTGTTAATGTTGTTGTTGTTGTTTTATATAAACTGGGTGTAATTGTTGACAAATAATATATGTGAAGCTATATACTACTGATTGGTCATGATGAGTAGTCGGGTAGCGCTCATATCAATCATTAGTGCTTTACTTGCCCAATCGAAGTGATCATAATACTGGATCTCCGTTTCACTCATTTGGGGCTGAGTTCATCAGTGGTGTAGTCTGTTCCACTCATCTTAGAGAGCAGAAATAGTTCAGACCACCCGATTCCTGGATGGCTACTGGGGTGAATTGGTGGTAGCACTATAGATCAAATTTGCATTCCTCAATTTGTACAATTCGGGGTGGAATTTCGTTTAGAAAAGTATCACAATATGTGATCTACTTGATACCATTAGTGGTAATCAAGAAAGCAAGCGTAACCGCATAAAACTATATGCTACTGATTTGAGTGTAATGAGTAGTTGTATAGTTGTATATAGTTTTATGCAATTATGTTTGCTTTCGTGATTACCATTCATGGTATCGAGTAGATCATATAGTTTGATCTGAATAATTTCGGTTTCCAAAGGAAATTGTAGTGAAATTTGACTTCAAACTGTGTGAATTACAAACCGTGAATTTGATTTAGATGATATATATATCGTCTTAGGTAATAATAACTGTACTATAATCAATCTAGTCTTACAGGATTTTCATCATGAGCTGACATTAGTTAGAGAACCATTGGAAAACCAGCTAGGAGTACCGGACAGCTGTTTCATCCTAGATTGGGACTCTTCATCAGTATGCACCCACCGGGATTCGAACCCAGGACCTTCTGGTTACAAGGCGAGCTAGCTCGTATACTATTAAGCCATTGGGACCCGATCCAATGGCCCATGCATTCTAACTTCTGCCAATTCACGACATAGCGCGACCCCTAGCCAATGTCTTTGGAGAGTATTTGTCCTCACACCCGACCTGCTGCACCCTACTGGTTACGACTTCTCACTAGAACCCCAGGTTCTCTAACTAATGTCAGCTCATGATGAAAATCCTGTAACCAATCAAATCCCGACAAACCAACACTTGAATATCAAACTAGTCTTACTTTTGTATATTTGCCTCTTTGAGATTGTAGGACATATTTTTTGATGTAGTAGTTAGTTAGTTGCAATAATAAAACTACTGCTAATAACCAATTCTACTAATTCTACTGTTATTATTATTATTAATAAAAGAATAATTACGTAGTTTAGAATAACAACGAAATGAACTCATTAATTAATTATACATCTTCAGACAGTTATGCAGTAGACGACAGGATTCCTCTAGGGAATTATTTTGATTGATTGTGAAATAGAAATTAGTGTAAGTGTATGATTTGAAGTGTTATTGATAGTGTTAGGCATAATGCTGTGAAATACTGTTCATTACAGTTGAGGCAAACAAGTCATTTAAAATCAGACTTGTAGAAAGTTATCTAGGCATTTTAATAATTATGTATTTTGCTTTAGAATAAACAAAAACTGAGTAGTAGTAATAGTAGTAGTAATAATAATAGGGATAATGCACATCCAAATGGTTAGTCATATGTTACAGTGGAACTGTGACAGGTCACAAGTTCGAACAACAAGGTTTTGTCAAGCATGTGGTAGCATCAGCTGTTGTGTAGTCGTCAGTGTTCCTCTTAGCCATGTGTACATGGTTGTTGATTTGAATTTCATTGATTCCTATATTAAACTGAACCACGCTGATACATACAAAACAATAAATACACAGCAATTCACTTTGTCTTTCTTCTTTCTGACTGTAGGATATTGACGTTGTAAGGGGAGGATATGAAGTTGGCAGCTGGCATTAATCATGGGGCGTCTGAGTTCTGTCTCTCGTATTGGGTGGTATTACTATAATCAGTAGTACTAAGATTTGGCATATAGTGTCAATTAATGAGAGAAAGTCCATTCATGGGGTTGTGAAATGTCATAGATTGAAGGTGGCTAAGACAAGCATTACACATGCTGAACCATTGCAGTGTATGTGTGTGTGTGAGCCAACATAGGATTTGGTTGGAAAAGAGTTAGATGGAGTCAAATCAAAACATGCTCTCAATCCATAAAGTTTTTAACTGTTGGTTTGTATCACATAGAGAAGGATTTAAACTACTTAGCTGTAGATTTTAGAGATGTTAAAAACCAATAACTAAGATACTGTTGATGACATGGCTAAAACTCATTCTCAATGACTCTGATGCATTTTTTTTTAATTTTTCATGTTCACTTCTGGATTTTATTGTAAAGTTTTAAATTGAAAATTCAATTCAACTCAGTTCACACAACTAATAGGCTCACAATTTCATAAATTAGGCAATTTTATATCATCAAAATCCGTATATATATATATATATATATATATGTATATATATGCATCGGCGGCACAGTGGTTAGGACTCTCGCCGACCATGGACATGGTCCGGGGTTCGATCCCCTGCCGACGCACACCCGATATCTATGGTCGGCCTGCAAAATTTGGGCTACCGATATCACATGCTGAAAATTCCATACCTGTACTAAAAAATACGGTGTGGAATCAAGCTGTAATCAGAAATAAAAAAACATCTTAGCGTTTATTCAACCTGAATCTAATAGTCCATTGATGTGATTACTTTTTCATACATCAATAATCTCATTGAACAATTAGTCTGTGTTATATTCATCGGTATAAAATGAATTTCATTTCTATATTAGAATATAATAATAATAGCAATAAACATTTTATCTTCCTCTCTCATTCAGGCTAAATTTAGTATCTCATCTCTAGTTATTCTACATATTTTTTAGGAACATGTATATATATATATATATATATATCATAGTAGAGTATATTAGAAGTACTGTATCTCCCCTTATAGATCATATCATAGAGATTAGTGTTATATATATATATATATATATATATGTTCAACCAGATAAATGATTTATTGAGTGAATTCAGCCATGTTTTCCTCTTAAATATAATGGAAGCAGCAAAAAGAGAACCGGGTAAGCAAGATTGATTGAATCCGTTAATTTCAGTAGAACTCTTCAGCTAGTTACTCTACGTAATTGGTCTATTAAACAATTACCTAATGGGGCAATATATATATATCTCAGGGAAGGGTTTTCAATTTTTATACTAGGTTGCTTGTAGGTGGTATGGCTCAAAATCGTTTTCAATGGCAAAGATGCATCCATTCCTTGTGATTTATCACGTCCCAAGCAACTATATTATTCTTCCATGTTACCATTCTTTTTGCCTCGTATCTCTGTTTTGAATCTCTTTTCACTTTTTTCTCTTGCTTTGTGTGCTACATGGAGTGTGGTGACTCGAACTGCTGCACATCGGTGCAAAGTTCTACGTTGAAACCAGTCAGTCAAGTTGCTTGTGATAGTTTAAGCTGATTAGAACTAAAACTCCTCGTAAAAAGAATAGTTTATTCTAATATCAAGTCTTGCTGTAAAATATTTTCAGAATGTTAAACTAATATTTATTATTGATAAGACCATTTTTATTATTACTATTATTATTATTATCATTACTACTATTATGACTAATTGCACAATTTATATTCACCATCATATTATCCTATAGACAAAACACCATGATTGGTTTATATTTGAATTTTTATTTGTAAACTTATACATATTAGAGTTAAGCCTGATGAGATCTAATTGAAAACAATATTGTTCGCTTAAATGTGTTGTTCTAAATTTTACTAGGGGAATATTTAATATAACATTTACGAGTATAATTATTACTGGGTCAGGCATTCAAATGTTAGCCCATTCATTGGTGGTCACGCGTTGAAACCCTACCTGCCACCTCCTCTTCGTACGGTTTTGGTGGATGCAGAAAGTTTGACTCATCGCCCATCTCATTAACACATTACTGACTGACTTGTCAACGTAAAATTTCGTACAAAATTCTATCAGTTTCAGTTATCGTTTTTTCAAGGCTCACACTTAAAAGTAGGGAGTTGGCGAAGGTGTACAAGAGAGAATAGTTCTACAAAAATCAGTGAGTATTTACAGAATCTGCATGATTGGTAGCAAGGGGTGCATACATCTTTGACATTGTGAATGATTTCTAGTATTCAACCACTGATTCTTGACATCTTGTGAACCTCAAATACGCAGAAGTTTATGCCTTACGACGCGGTCATTGACTTAAAGGATTGGTTACACATTTTCACTTCATCAACTCTAACTTTTTTCGAACCTAATTCTATATCACCCATTATACGAAGGTGATGTCTTGATGTACGTAGCACATGCCCGAGCCACATCGATCGGTAAAACTCTGTAACATCATCGGTTGATTTTTCTCCTTACTTTATACTCTCCGCCTAACCTTGTTAACTATGACTATATTCCTGCGCCCATCACCAGAGATTGGACTGAAGCATTTATAGTCAAAACCTCTGATCTTTCTATATCTTCCATTTTCAGAGGCCATATCTCACAGTCGTGAAGTAGGACGGGGGGGGGGGAATTTAAATTACAAGCCGGTATAGATCAGTATTCCAGTATCATATTATGTTGTTTGACAGGGACTAATCATATCCATCCCAGACATTTTTAGTTGTTCGCTTAAGATGTTACAAAGACTGAATTTTACCTAAGTTTTCTCTCAGAAGGATAATATCATCCTCATACTAACCTCTTCCCTAAATATATTGCATGCATTCTGTTGTTGAGTAACACACACAGTTATTTTTATATATAAAAAAGAATGCATTCATTTCTTTGCAGGAAGATTGACAGTTATATGAGAAAAATAGTTTAACTTCATGAAAAAACACACTGTATCCCCAGTGAATGGTGACATTCTCACTGGGTCTCGAACTCTTTTTACTAATTCTGACTGTTTGTGAGGATTAATATGATATTATTTTGTGGACGAAATAATGCTTGTGAAGAGGAAAGGTTGGGCATGAGGCCAGCAACCCCATCCTGTAAAATAAACAATGCTACAGAATCTTCAAGCCACTAGCTTGAAGCCCTATGTTCCACTGGGGAACGTGAAGGAAAAAAAATTTCGTGGACGACAACATGTCAACACAGACGGAACGTTTCAGTTTAACATAATTAGTAAAAGAAAAATATAAAATTAACCTAAATACAAATATCGCGCCAGACTGCCGAGTGGAATCCAAATGGGAAGCGACGAGTGGGTCGTCATAGGATGACGTGGAGGAGATCGTGCGAGTTGGAGGAAGTGAGAGTATGGGCAATCGTGATTCCGGCTAAATAGGAAAGCAGAAAATAGGACAAAGGGGAGATGTGTTGTTGAAGCCCTATGTTCCACTCGGAACGTGAGGGAAATAAAAAAAGTGCTTTACTGGTGTAGATTATTGATTCTTAAATGTTGGTTTAAAGGGATTGGATTGATCACGATCTGACCTCAATAAGAGAACTATTGAAAATCAGGGAGTAATATTCATCTAGTCCTCACTAGTGACAGAATACAGCATGAAGTCATCTGAGGTTTTAGTGGGAAGTCGTGATCAGTGGCGTCCACTGAATTGAGCATATGGAAAAATTCTTACCGATGACGTTGACTTGCTGGTCGCGTTGTATATCACGAGTCGGAAAAAGTTAGAATTGATGGGTCAACTTGATTCCGTCTCAGACACTGAATGCTCATGGAGCTCGCTTTGTAACCTGAAGGCGCTGGGTTCGACCTCTGATGGAGTTAAAACTGCGAACCATTGAAGAGTCCCAAACAAGAATGAACCAACTGCCCAGTGCACGTTGCTGGTTTTCAATGATTCTCTAACTGAGTTCAGTTTGTAATCACACTTCCAAATTGATTCTCGATCGGTTATTGGTGGTTTGATAGAACCACTTACACTTTTTCACAGGACATTATAAAATTGTATTTGTGGTCGGTATACTTATCCGGTTTCTACCAATGAAGTTGTATATCCATTCAATTCTATATATCATTGGAGTTCGTGATAAAAATTATAGTGTGTATGTGTTTGATTATGATCATTGTGATTGTGTAACGCATGCACACACACACAAACACACACTGACACGTAGGTTAACAAACAACACATTGTATACACTGTCGTATACGCCTTCGTTTATAGTGTATCCAGTAGGTATAAATTATTCAATAACTCATTAAAGTACGTTTCATATTTTAGTTACAATCGAATTTAATTTTACCTGGTAATGAGATACGTTAGTTATTGTGATACTGATAAATATAATAATGATCATAAAACAACAATAACAATAGATAACAGACTGTTTAGTCGAATGAATTGTGCTTATCTCTATCGGGAGGTCATAAATACAAACACGCACACACATACACACACACTCACAAACATGTACACATGCACATTTGAATCAAATAGTGTAGGTCTGTGTTACGCCTTTGCTTTATGATATATATATGCGCAATACACGTACAAATATCTGTAATAACACAGAGCTTAAATGAGAAGAACCATATTCTCTTATTGTGTCTGCATAAAATGTCTGATAAACGGAAGGAATAAAGTTGTAACAGTCTGTGGATTACTCTGAGTATTATTCAGTCAAATAAAGCTACATAACTTATTGAATATATAAGAGGAATATACATTATATATCTCAATATCTCTTTGCTTTTTCTGACAGTGTAATGGAGGTAGAAATAGTCACTCGGAGCAGCATTACAACCACTGCTAATACTCCTATTTCGATAACTATCGATAATAATAATCATAGTGATGGTAGTAGGAATGTATATTTTTATGCATTTTCTGATGATATGGTAAATTCAATATTCAATGTCGATTTAAATATTATTATTTTTTAAATAATATAATTCAGTAACATATGTTATCATCAAATCGGCTTTTTATCTCTTTTACTACGCTACAAAAGAATTTTCTCCTCAATGCCAATTCAAATGCTTATTGTCAGTATAGATTTTTCTTTTTAGATAAAATGTCAAGCTATTTGTAATTTGGAGGATGGTGACTAGCAGTGGAATCCCTAGGCTGATCATTTCGTCCTATTTGGGATTCGTCAACTGTATGTACCTGCATTCTCCAGTGATTGATGGTCTTCTCACTGAGGCTCGAATCCAGTAGCCATAGTTTCAAAAGCAAAAGCGCTATCCATTAAACTTCTTGGGCCACGAAAGCCACCTCTTCTGCAACAACGGGTGTCAGTTTAATTTATTTTTAATTCATTTTTGGTTCTTGTGGTCTAGTGGACAACGCTTTGGCATGTGAAACGATGACTACTGGGGTTGAGCCGCAGTGGGAAGACCATCACTCACTGTGGCTGATGCAGGTACACTCAGTTAACGAGTCCAAAATAGGATGAAATGAGCATCCTAGGGATTCCACTGCTAATCACCATCCGTCAAAGTTATTTCAAGTTCATCCTCAGACACTGTCGAAGCATCTGCACAAGGAGGTGACATGTCATCAGAGGCTGAACATTTCGGTCTAATCAATTAACAGAAAAATCAAAATTGAATTTTTTTTTTAAAACAATTAATTTATTTGTATTACCATTATCTTGTGTTATTTTATTCTCTTGATTAGGCAAATGATATTCCACAATCGTTTATTAATGTGAATGGAGATATTGTGAATAAATCAACGGAGGAATGTACACTTATCAGTAATCCTCAGACATTAATCTCATCGTTATCATCATCATCTTCTATGTCTGAGACTGCTGCTGGTGGTGGTGGTGGTTCTACTGCTGGTACTAGTGCTGATACTGTTGCTGATGGTGGCAGCAGCGGCGGTGGCGGCGGCGTCAGTAACACCTCCGATGATTCTGCTAGTCCAATTGATTCTGTACTGACAGCCTCTAAGATACAACAATTGCAACATGATATAACACAACTTGAAGCGGCTATAAAAACCAATTTAAATGAACAAAAAGGTATGTTAGTTGTTAGTATTTTGGATAAATATTGAGTATCCATTTCAATAATTATATTAAAAGTCATATTAGTAATTATATATATTGTAAGCCACATAGTGTGTGTGACTATGTGCATCATCAGTAGTTAGTTAGGCAGCAGGATGTGCTTGCCAGCCACGCGGGTAATTTCGGTTCGGTATTCGGCCGACGCACTCCTAGATCTTACCTAGCTGGTAATAAACCGGGAAAACATGAAAGCCTAACAAGCCCATTTCATAAAAGAAAACACCACTATAATAAAGGTTTTTGTATTTCCCAACGAATGAAAAACAAAACGATATTGTTTTTACTGACGTTTCGCTATTTAATGCTAATACCACTGTTCAAAATTCGAAGCCAGTGGCTCTATGTTTCACTCGGGACGCAAGTAATGAAAAAAGGTGTCTCAGAAGAGACAGTAGTGCCAACTAGCACGAAACCTGGGTCAAGTAAGGCTTCCTGCCGATTGCCTACAACCATCTAATATCAAAAATTCAGTGTGCTGTGATGACGAGCCATCTAGAGTGCTGGCCACATTGCCGACGTGACTGTTAGAATTCAGTCTGCACCAAACAAAGGACTAGACAAATTACACTAGTTACTATCTGTCTGTCTGTCTGGATTCAACATAGAACTTGGCACCGAAAGGCAGCAGTTCGAGTTGCCACGTTCCAAATAGCACACAAAGGTAGACAAGAAAGTGAGTGAAGAGAATCAATAGAGTTTTAACAAGTATAAGAGTGAAACAGAATGAGTAATGGTAGAAAGGAATATGAAAGATTACAGAGACTGAATACATCTGCGTAAGCCATTGACAACGATTTTGAGCCATGTCACCTATTGTCTCCAGCCTTCATTGATTCTTAGAGTCCCGAGGGCCCCAACCCGAAAGTCTGCATCTCCCTACCTGACTCAGTTTAACTGTTAAGGATTTCATGGATTGATGCCATGTTTTTGTTTGGCCACCACGTACTCTTTTCCAACCTGCACCTATATCAGATAGTAATGCCCGTGTCCGTCGGGGGAGGCGATGGTTAGGCATGCGCAGCACGCGACCTAGCCATCTCAATCTATGTAACTTTATAGCCTCGTCGATTGATTTTCCCTCTTTGCCCAACACTCTACGCCTAACATCAACATTACTTTCCTTATTATACCACCTAACGTGAGAAAGAGATCGTAGACATCTATGATCAAAAACAGTCAACCTTTTTCATGTCTTCAACTCGTATTGGCCATGTTTCAGAGCCATAGAGAAGGACGGAGCGAACTTCTGAGCAGTATACACGTCCCTTGGTTGATAGTTGGATGTCACGCCTACACCAGATATGGCGTAAGTTAGCGAAAGCAGCTCGAGCTTTCTGGATCCGTGCTGACTAGTTACTAACTAATGCCCAACCAAAAGGTGTTGATTATCTGAAGGGTATTGAATTTTCACAGAACCGTTACTTCGGGTTTCACTAACCTGACATTTCTGGGAATTCAAGTATTAGCCAAAAGAGTTTTGTAAACTATACATGACATATGAGTACAACGAAAATAGGTAATAGTGAAAAATCTTTATTTTTAAAATACAAATGATATCTGCCGACCGGAAGAAACTTAAATTGCTTTTTTTCGGAAGAGGAAGTGTATAAATTGCTTTAAAAGGTTTTATATTTCCCAATGAATTAAAACAGCGAAAGCAATATTGTGACGCTTTCTTATTTGATGCTCATAACTGCATCAAATTAATATTAAACCGGAATTTACAAAATCTCATCTTAAGCACAGTTTTTCATGCATGGGGGTGGGGTGATTTTTACGCTGTCAATTGGGTGAATGAGTAGAAATAACAAATCCTACGCAGACTGTTGGATCTGATGAGTGTACGCAGTAAAAAAAACAGCATATGTTTACATAATGAAATTGCTTATCACATTTGTATTGTGATGTTATCACTTCTTAAGATTGGGAATGTTGAAAAAACAACCCAGTTCAAATTCTGTTTTAATCTGTTATTTTTATTCAGAAAATTTAGATTCCATTCTGATGTGACACGTTCTTTTTCCTGATTTTGAAATTTTTCTGGATAATTTCAATATTGTCGAAATCAATTTTTTGACCTGTTCTCCTATAGTGTGTAGGAGGCCTAATCCTAACAATAGTTCAAGGTTTCTGAGTTCCATTGGTTTTCTATGTTGTCGAAGAGAGGATGCTTATTTCTTCTGACTCTGATTTCTTGTGAGGTTTTTGATGTAATATATGCATCTGAAAATCATTGACAAATCCAATAGAATTAGAAAAGCTTGAAAAATTGTCAGTCATAGGTCTACACACACTATAGGTTCTATCATAGCATGCCCAAGTTAAGTTCTCTTCTTATACACACTCGCAGTAGTAGTGTCGGGCTATAAATTAATTAAATTATAAATTCTGGTTTAATATTACTTTGATTGAGCTATTAGCAGTATGTAGCGAAGCTTCACTAAATACACTATTGTTTTTTTTTTTTCATTATTCATTGAGAAATTAAAAGGAAACAAACTTTTATAGTAATGAATATCATTTACCTGATAATCTCAAATACTTTAAACTATGCATCTCCACATAGGTTTTTGTTATTATCTGTAACGTTAAAAAATATCTTCAGAAAGGTCTTATAGGTCTTGTGAAGCCTATCTAAATATTTCCTCTTTTATGCATCGTAGTGGAAAATGTACATATTATTCCAGATGAACTGACCTTAATATAGAGTAAGAAAGAAACATCTGACCTTTCTTCTTGTCGAGATTTTTCTGCACTTCGACGTAATGCCATAAGTATTCGTTATCCAGGTTATCACTCAGTGATGGGCAGCTAAATTTTACGGATCTCTTAGTAATTGGTGACATAAAAATAGTATTTATCCAAGCAAAGCAGCTATATTGATTATACCTGAACTGGGAACTTCCATTTCTTATTTAAGTTCGATGAATAATTTAATTTTCTTGGTTGATGTTGACTAGCAGTGGGGGCCAGAATGGGACTTGTCAATTTGAGCGTACCTGCCTCTCTAGTGAGTGATGGTGTTCCAGCTGGGACCCGAACTCAGCACCTATCGTGTCAAACTCCATAGTGTTATCCAGCTGAACTACAAGAGTCATCTCTTGTGCAATGGTTGTCAGTCGTTATTATTTCAGTTAGTCTATTTGATTATTATTTTTTTTTAACCTTCACGTTCCCCAGTGGAAACTAGGGATTCAAGCTAGTGGCTTAAAGTTTCTGTAGCAGTGTTTATTTGACAGGATGGGGTTGCTAGCCTCATGCCCAACCTTTCCTGTTTACCAGCATTATTTCTGGCTTAGCGAGGTAAAGGAGTGCGTCGGCCGAAATACTCACCTTCTGTTGACATGTCGGCTCATAGTACCGACGCTTCGATGTTGTTTGGAGATTAATGTGATGCTATTTTGGTGGATGGTGGTGGGGTCCAGGTTGCCCGTTTCATTCTTTTTGGAACTTGTCATCTGGATGTAATTGCATCTGTAGTAATTGATGGGGTTCCCTATGATACCCGAATCCAGCATTCATCGTTTCAAACACTATTCCGTTATCTACTGGGTTACGAGGTTTAGTTGTTGAGTTGTTTTTTCTGATTTTCTCATAAAGAAATAATTATAGAAAATTTCCAGTTGCTCAGTGTATAGTTGTGGTTTGACAAATAACATTGCTGTGTTAATCCACATAATGAAGGCAAGTTGACTTCAAACACTTTTCTAAATTACACCCCTGCCAAGTAGTCTACGGTTATAAAAACTAAAACTTACAAACCAAACTGTAGAAAATTAGTCTGATGCTCGGTAGTGACTTGCTACAGGATAGAGTTTCCTGGAGTTCTAGTGAGAAGTCGTGACCAGTGAGGTTCATCCAGATGTCACGTGTGAGGATGGATGTCCCACCTACGACAATGGTTGGGGTCGCGCTAAATCACGAATTGGTAGAAGTTAGAATTCATGGACTGGCCATTGAATCGGGTCCCAGTGGCTGAATGGTATACGAGCTTGCCTTGTAACCAGAAGGTCCTGGGTTCTAACTATGTTGGCGGGTGCGTACTGCAGATGATTCCCAAACTAGGATGAAACAGCTGTCCAGTACTCCTTGGTTTTCAGTTGTTCGCTAACTGATGTCAATCTGTGATTAACTCTTAAAAGTAAAAAACAATAGTTTTATTATTTTTTGATTAGAAATGCTTGTACTATTGATCACTGCTGTTTTAGTAGACGAAGTTTCCCGATTGCTGCCTATCAGGAATGTTATCATCGATGCACTTAGGTGTTAACCTTCAATTCTAGGCGCAAACCTTTAACCCATTGGCATTTGTTGACTTTTAAATGGTGTTCGGCTGTTATTCACATATGGACTCATTAGCTCAATAACTGTTTGAATTTTCGCAAATATTTTATTATTGGGATAAGTTATGTTTTGGAGGGGTTTCTATTTACAGCATTATCGATGAACACCAACCAGTACAGCACTACGTGGGTAGGCTGGTAGGTAGGTAGCTAGGCGCACCATGTTCACAGTCAGTCTGGACGATTAGGATTTCATTCAAAGACGACTGCATAAGGCCAATAATTATTTTGGCTAAATATTAAAAAAAAAGAGTATATTTTAAAGGTTTACATTCAGATACAATGTATACTGGACATGGACTGTCTATTATATAAATAATATTTGATTATTTGTTCTAATCTTTCGATTAACTAATTAAGATTATCTATCTGCATTATGTCGGATTTTATTATGTATGCCATTGTGTTTGGTTCTATAACTGAGACATCAGACTTGTGTGCAATATCTCTCTCACTCACTCACACTCTCACACACAATGTATATATACACCTTATATACAGGTGATTATTTTTTCAAAACAAAGGTATATATATATATATATATATACGAGACTTTCACATGATACCTGCGTGTACTTTTAAATTTCATTTTACACGTCTAAACAACCA